TTGGATTTTTCCAAGAGTTGTTTCAGACCTATCATTGCGTTGCCGTTCAGGTGATCGACGGCAATCACATTCGTGATAGATTATCGAAGCTCTTCGTTGCGGACCTAAAGGACGTGAACTTCACAGGCAATGGTGGCGTTGTCCCTGGACTGCCAAATTCTCGACGCTTCGCGTATCCCCACCACCCCGTCCAGGAACAATGCCCAGGAGAGCTGGCGGGAGAAGGGAGGAAGAGACGCACATAGTGATACAGCGCGGACAATACCGCCGAATTGTGAGGTCTCTGGTAGCGAAGGATGCGGGTGCTGCTGCTGGTGCTGCTGCTGGTGCTGTCGTTGCTGCTGGAGCTGCTGCTGCTGCTGGCGTTGCTGGTTCTCGTGTTGCTGGTGCTGCTGGTGCTGCTGTTGGTGCTGTTGGTGGTATTGCTGGTGCTGATGGTGCTGCTGCTGGTGCTTTTGCCTCTGGTGGTGCTGTTGCTGGTGGTAGTGCTGCTGCTGGCGCTGCTGCTACTGCCGTGCTGCTGGTGCTGCTGCTGGTGTTGTTGGTTCTCGTGCTGCGGCTGGTGCTGCTGGTGCTGCTGCTGGTGCCGGTGTTGCTGTTGGTTGTGTTGCTGCTGGTGCTGATGCTGGTGGTGATGGCTCTCGCGCTGCTGGTGCTGCTGATAATGCTTTTGCTGCTGGTGGTGGCGCTGCTGGTGGTGCTGGTGCTGCTGCTAGTGCTGGTGGTAGTGTTGCTGCTGGTGCTGTTGCTGGTGCTGCTGGCGCTGCTGGTGCTGCTGGCGCTGCCGCTGCTGCTAATGCTGTTGCGGGTGGTTGCGGTGCGGCTGCTGGTGCTGGCGGTGACGGTGGACGCAGGCAGTGCGACAACCGCCTCGGAAGCGTTTTCTCGGAGGTCTCTTGGAGCCATATTGGGGCGTTTTTGAGGGTTCTCTTGGGGCTCTCTAGGGGCCCTCATGGGGCTCTGTTGGGGGGTCTTGGGGCTTTCTTGGGGCTCTTGTGGGATTATTTCGGGGGGTCGTGGGGCCCTCTTGGGGCTCTTTTGGGGGGTCTGGGGGGCCTCTTCGGGCCATCTTGGAGGCCGCGGCTGAAAAAAGAGGGCGGCGTAAATTCGGATCGCCCCCTCGGAGGCTCAAAGCGGACGTATTGGGCCCCTCTTGGGCCGCACTTGGAGCGCTCTTGGGGCCCTCTTGGGGGCCCTCTTGGGCCTCTCTTGGGGCTCGATTGGGCCATCTTTGGGCCATCTTGACGCCTCCAGAACCCATCGGGGGCGAAAAGGCGAGACATCAAAAAAAAAAAAAAAAAAAAAAAAAAAAAAACATCGATTTCCTTTAGGTGTTGGAGCCATTCTGGCTTCGTGGGGGGCTCCTTGGAGGGCTCGGAGGGCACTTGGAACCGTCTTGGGGCCGTCTTGAGGCCTCTTGGATGCATGTCGGAGGCTATCTTGAGCCATCTTGGGTTATATTGAGCCATCTTGGAGGCAATCTTGGCCTCTCTGACGCCCTCTTGGAGCCATCTTGGGCCGAAAAGGACCCTCTGCCACCTCGCGGCCCCTCCCGTCCAGACCCAAGGAGAGGGGGCGGGGGGAGAGGTAAACCTCTCCCCCGAGCAGGGGAAGGAGGAGGTTTTGACCGAGAGAAGACATAACTCCCTAAACCACCTCAGCCCAGAGGGCTGGTGGGATTCTCAGAGCGCCGGCATTCAGCGAGCGTCTGGCCTGCCACATGGACGGTTCGCTTTGGCTATACGGAATCTTTCAGAGATTCACCAGTTATGGGATTTGGCATACATCGCCACTGACCGGCCAGTTGCATTCGCTGCGACGCCGTGTCTATGGGTTGCCCCGCCTGACGGTGTGCTTTACACTGTTGCGTCGCATGATTTCAAAGGCCTCGATGCTCACGCTGACTGGGAAAGCGGCCCAGTATGTCACGGCGGCACCCTGCAGGGCCTGGCACGCGCATGGCCCCCGCCCGGCAATATGGCCGAAGCCGCGCTTCGCCTAGGAAGCGCCTTTTCCTTCTACGCAGAAGCCTGCGGCAATTGCAGCCGCCGCGCCACCAAAGTTTCAGGAAGGCCGCTGTTCGAAGTACGGGCGAGGTTGCTTTGGGAGGCTCGCGGGTAACCCGGGGCCCTCTTGGGCGGATTCGGCCGGCACCTCAGGGTCAGCATGGACCTCATCTTGGCATTTTCTCCGAGGTGGCAGGGGCATCTTGGCTAATGTTTTCACGGCGTCAATCGCCGCCTGGAGCCCGTTCCAGCCGTCTTGAAGACATGTTGGGCCGTGTTGGCATCCCCGGAGAAATCCCAGCGAGGCGCGGACAGCCCGCAAGCATCGCCATCTGCCACTGCCGCGTCAGCGCGGCGGCGGGTCGCAGTCATCCCGTGCTCGTCGAACGCGTGCGGCAATTGTTTGTCTGTCGGTGGAGCAGTCTTGAAGTAGACTTCAGGACGTCGGCCCTGCCTGGGCAAGGGTCGCCGCGAGCGCCCAAACACGGTTGGGGCAACATTGGGGGCTCGGTCGTGGAGAAGGCAGTCGTCCTGAAGATGACCCCCGAGCAGCTGCTCAAGTGCGCGCAGAGCCTGCCAGCGTGGATGAGGACCTGGAGGGTTTCTCCGAAGGGCTTAGGCGACCCGTCTCCTCCTCCCCCTCCTCCTCCTCCTCCTCCTCCTCCCTCCCCCTCCCTCCTCCTCCCACCTCCTCCTCCTCCTCCTCCTCCTCATCCTCCTTCTCCTCCTCCTCCTCCTCCTCCTCCTCGGGTCGCCTCCGGCCCCGGGGGAAACCGCCCATGAGGACCCAGTCGCGCATCCTGGAGCCAGCCATCGCCAGACCCCCTGACCTGCGCTCCTGGTTGGAATCTCGCGGGTACGCACCTGTTAGCGTTGAGAACCTGCAGAAAGAGTATGACAAGATCGAGCCCCCGCAAGAGAACCGAAAGTTCGTCTTATCGGCTCTCGCTGGCGGCCTGAATCCGGGGGCGCAGGCAGCTCGGCAGTTTTGGGGATGCGGCCCGAGTGGCATCATGGCCAGCGGGGCGAATGTGGCCGAACAATCTCGGATTTGCTCCGACCCTACCCACCTGACTCGGTGGATAGCGGACGCTGGCCAGAGGTACAGGGCGAAGGCGTCGCAGCTACAACCGTCCGGTCGTCTGAGTGCGAAGCGCAAGGCCGCTGGCAATGTCCTAGCCACCAAGGCGTACGCAGTTAAGTCTCAGAAGAAGTGACTGGCCAGCTGGCGCTATGATGCTGCACTTCATAAATGTGAGCGAGAAGCCACCCCGTTTAAATCCGCACGCGGCTCTGTTCTGGTCTTGTGCCGACTTTACGAGCATGGGCTGCTGTCGAAAAAAAGGATACAAGACTGGCGAATGGTCCTTGGGCCGAGTTGCCCCGCCGAAAGTCTGCTCACAATTGTTCTCGCTTCGCGTATCCCCACCAGCCCATCCAAAAACAGTCGCCAGGCGAGTTGACCCGATCAGGGATGCGTAGCAGCATCTGGCCCAGCAGTGATCCACATCCGCTGTAGAGGTGGAGCAATCAGAGTTGAGAGTAGAGGGGGCATGCGGAAAAGGAGGGGGGAAGGAGCAAAAGGGAGGAAGGCGGGCAATGATGAGCAGGAGGGGGGGAGGATGAGGAGGAGGGGGAGCCGGAGGAGGAGGATAACAAGTAGCATGTGTATGGATATATATATATAGGTGGCGAAGAATGACACGACGACGATGACGAGCAATACGACGACGACGACGACGACCACGACGACGACGACGACGACGACGACGGCGACAACTCCTCGACGACGACGACGACGACGACGACGAGGGTCAACCACCGAGGTCTTTGCTGATCCTTCGCTCTGCGAGCGTCACGTCTTGGAAGCCTCTTGGGGCCATCGCGGGGCACTGCGGGGCCCGTGTTGCAGGCTTCTGGAGCCCTCATGAGGCTCTCTTGGGGCCCTCTTGGAGGCCCTGGGGGCCCTCTTTGGGCCATCTTGGAGGCCTCTTGGGCCCTCATGGTGCTCTCTTGGGGCCCTCAGTGGGCGCTCTTGGGGCCCTCTTGAGGCCATATTCGACGCGTTGAAGGCCCTCTTGGGGCCACCGATGAAAAAAGGGACGGGTTCTTTAAGTCAGCACCCCCGTCGGGACCCGAAAATGAGCCTCTTGGGGCGCTCTTGGGCCGCTCTTGGGGCGTTCCTGGGCGCTCTTGGGGCCATCTTGGAGCCCTCCTGGGCCCCTCTTGGGCCCTCTTGGGCCATCTTGGAGCCATCTTGGGGCCTGAAGAGCCCATCGGACGCGAAACGGCGAGAATACAGAAAAAAACATCGAACAACAAAAGGGATTTGAAGGATTTTGGCCTCTTGAGGGGTTTCCTGGAGAGCTCGAGAGGCACTCGGGGCCGTCCTGGGGCGGTCTCGAGAGCTCTTGGATGTATGTTGATAGCTATCTTGAACCATCTTGGGCTATCTTGCACGATCTTGGAGGCCATCTTGAGCTCTTGGAGGCCCTCTTGGAGCCATCTTGGGCCATCTTGGGCGCCCTGACCGCTCGCGGCGCCCTCCCTCCAGGCCAAGGGGGAGGGGGTAGGGGGAGGGGGAGCCCCTCCCCGAAGGGGAAGAAGGGGGTTTAGCAGAACGAGCTCCTTAGACCACTCACGCCCTGAAGGGCTGGCGGGATTGGTCTCCGGAACCCTTCCCGGGCCCGCCCGGTGAAGTTGCACACCCCGAATCGATTCTTACGACACCGCGGAGCCCGAAAGCGAATTCCAGAGGCCTAAAACGACGAGAAGCGTCTTCGAACTTCGATCGTCGAACCTCCTCGGAGAAAAAAACAAAAGAACAAACTAATACGATCGTCGAGCCTCCTCCCGGCTCTGCCCCCTTCCCGTCCTGCATCCTTCCTTGCTCACGATCGGCCCCCGGACCCGTCCAGGCGCGCGCTTCAGGATTTCGTGGGGAACCCAGCCGCGGCGACGAGAGCGCCCCAAGTCGAGTCAAGTCACAGCCAATCGCATAGGCAAGGAGGCCCAACATAAACATTAAAAACGCAATAAGAACCCTCGAAGTTCAAACCTCGAGGTCCTCCGCCTTCAAGATAACGCCTAGCATTCAACAGCCCCCAGGGCTCCCGGGACTGCCCGGGTCCGCTCCCAAACACGCCACGACACGCCAAGAGGGCCCTAAAGATTGCCAAGACAGCCCCAAGAGGCCCCGGACACGCCGAATATGGCCTCAGGACGGCCCTAAAGATTGCCAAGACAGCCCCAAGAGGCCCCGGACACGCCGAAGATGGCCTCAGGACAGCCGCCGACGCCACCAAGACGCCCCAAGAGCGCCTCCAGAGGCCCCTCCAAAGGGCCCCGCATTTTTGCGCTCTCGCATGTTCGGCCTCCCCACGGTCCCAGACAGCGTCAGAGGCCCTTCAGATCGCTCCAAGACGGCCGAAGAGGCTCCCCAGGAAAGACCAGAGACGGCCCAGGAAGCTCCCCAGATAAGTCAAGAGGGCCTCGAGAGCGCCCCCAGAGAGCCCCAAGAGCGACCCAAGAGGGCCCGAAGAGCGCGACATTTCAAGGTCTCCGGCCTGAGAGGCTCCTAGGACGCCCCCGGAGGCCATCAAGAGGCTCCCAAGAAGCCCCGTGAGGCTCCCAATAGGCCCCCCGGAAGCCCCAATAAGCCCCAAGGGCTCCCCAGGGAAGCCCCCTGCGGGCCCCCAAGAGACCTCGGTAAATCGCATTTCCCAGAGTTTTCCGGGAACATGATTCCTTGGACTTCCGCCCATCGCCCCAACCATGTTTCCAATAGGCTTGCCGACAAGGCCAAAAAGAGCCCATCGGTGAGCCCCCAGAGCCAACCCTCTTAAGAGAGCCGAACAAGTCATGCTCCTGGAAAGCTTCCCGGGAACATGATTCTCGGGTTACCGCCCTTTCCCCAAACCATGTTTATAAACGCCTGCCAGGATAAAAAAAAGCGAGAGTCCCAAGCAGCGCTACCTGCCGCCACGCTCGGAAACGCGTCAGGCCCCGAAGCCTCCGGAGGCGCCCAACGACACCCCAACAAATCATGTTCCCAGGAATGTTACGGCCACTGCCGCCGACGTTGAAGGAGGACGGTCCAGAACACCCAGAAATCTTCCAAACAGGCTTCCAAGAGGGCGCCGAGACAGCCCAGGGCCGCCCCCAGACGGCCCAAGAAAGCCCCAACACAGGCGAAAAGCGCCGCAAGAGGCCCCCAAGATGCCCCGAAACGAGGACATATCGTTCGAACACGCCCAAGATGGCTTCCGGACAGCCCACAAGGCTTCCAACACGGCCCAAAGGGACGCCAAAATCATTGATTGTCTTTAGGTTTTTTCATTGATTTCAGACACCCAATGCCGCCCCAACAGGCCCCCACGAGGGCGCCGAGACGGCCTAGGGACGCCCTGCCGCGGGCACGAGGCGGGGCCCGGGACGGAGCCCTCGCACCGGGGGGCCCGGGGGCCCTGCCGTGGCACTGGGGGCCTTGTAAAGTCGCCCGAAGACGGCCCTGGCGTTTCCAGACAACGAGAACGACCAATGACCGCCTGAGATCTTGGTCCCTGACTGTCCAAGAGGCCTCCAAGACGCCCCAAGAGGTCTCCAAGATGGCTCCCAAGGAGCCCCAGGAGCCACAACTAAGTTGTTTTCCTTTGGTCTTTGATCGATTTTCGAGTTCTCGCCTTTTGAGTTTCCTGACGCTTCACGACGGCCCAAGAGGTTTTAACTTCCGCTCCAAGGCATCCCTAGAGGCCTCGAAGACGGTCACAAGACAGCCCACGGGGGTCCCAAGACGGCGCCAGAGGCGCGCAAGGCGGCCCGAGAGGGCCCCAAGACGGCCCCAAGATGGAGCCAAGAGGGTTGACACGAACCGAAAATCCGAGTCTTCCACCCCGAGAGGCTCTCAGGAGGCCCCGAGAAGCCCCTAACAGGCTCCAAGAGGCCCCAAGAAGCCCCCCAGGGGGCCGAAGAGTGTCCAAGAGGCCTCCCACGAAGGCCCCAAGAGGCGAAAATCCATGTCTTGCCATAGGTTTTTATTGATGTTCGAGTTTTCAGCCTTTGGGCGTCCTGACGCTCCAAGACGGCCCAAAAGGTCTCCAAGACCAATCTAAGATAGCCCAAGAGGCCTCCAACAGGGCCCAAGACAGCCCGAGAGGGCACCAATACGGCCCCAAGGGGGGCCCAAGAGGGGTAAGACGTACCGAAAATCCGAGCCTTCACCCCGAGAGGCTCTCAGGAATCCCCAGAGGCCCCCAAGTGGGACCCAAGAGGCCCTCAAGAAGCTCCCCAGAAGCCCGAAGAGGTTCCAAGAAGCATTGTTTTCCCATCGGCCTTTGATTGATTTTAGAGTCCCCAGCCTTTTGACATCCCGACGCTCCAAGACGGCCCAAGTGGCCCCCACGGCCGCTCCAAGATAGCCGAAGAGGCCTCCAAGAGGGCCCCAAGACGGCCCACTAGGGCCCCAAGACGGTGCCCGAGGCGCCCAAGACGGCCCGACAGGGCCCCAAGAGAGCCCCAAGAAGGGGAACGCGAACCCAACAGCAGAGCTTTCCGCCCCAAGAGGCCCACAGGAGGCCCCAACAGTCCCCAAGTGGTCCGACGAGGCCCCCCAAAGCCCCCCACCAGGCCCCAAAAGGCCCCAAGATAGCCGAACAGTGTTCTCGATGCATCGAAATTGCTTCAAGGAGGCCCCGGGAGGCTTCCGGATTGCCCCAATGTGGCCTCAAGCCGGGCCTCCACGCAGCCAAGTCGGCCAATTCATTGCTTCAGAGACTGCACAACATCACTTTCCGACTGCCCGGAGAACCCTGACGATGCCCCCAAGGGACCCCAAGAAGCCCCAAGATGCCCCCCCGAGAAGCACCCAAGAGGTGCCTCCAACAGCAAATTAAGGAAGCACGGAGAACCCCCCAGAAGCCCTTCAGATGCCCCCACGAGGACCCAAGAGGTTCCCAAGAGGCCCCCAGGAGGCACGACTATGTCACGCGCCTGTGCTTGATAGCGCTGTCCAAGATCTTCTAGCGCGCCCCCGGCCTGGGCTAGAACCTGAGCGTGCGCAAAGCGCGCGCGATGGTTCTAGTGTATAGATATACACATTTCAATATAAAAAGTATGTTCAATAGTTGTATGAGATGTCCGTCTTCCCTTCCATTGTTCAACTTTGCTTCGAAATTGTTGTGCATTCTCTTGCACAGGGTGTCTACAGCCCCGACCACTTTATTCCGCGTCACATCCCCCCCCGCGTCCCGAGCGCCAGAGTGGGACCCCCGCGCCGTGGCTCTCTGCCCCGAGCCCCCCGGCGTCCCCAGCGCCCCAGCGGCAGCCCCGCCCACTGCCCTTTCCGCCACGAACGCTATATTCCGCGTCGCCCCCCCCCCCCCCCCCGCGTCCCCAGCGCCAGAGTGGTACCCCCGCGCCGTGACTTTCTGCCCCGAGCCCCCCCGTGTCCCCAGCGCCCCAGCGGCAGCCCCGCCCACTGCCCCCTTCGCCACGAACGCTATACTCCGCGTCGCACCCCCTCTCCCCCCCCAGCGTCCCCAGCGGCAGAGAGGGACCCCCGCGCCGTGACTGTCTGCCCCGAGCCCCCCCCCGTCCCCAGCGCCCCAGCGACAGCCCCGCCCACTGCCCCTTCCGCCACGAACGCTTTATTCCGCGTCACGGCGCACACCACCTCCTTCACCTCCCTCCCCGCGTCCCCAGCGTCCCAGTGGGGGGTCCGCCCCGTGCCCTTTCCGCTCCGATAATTTTATTCCGCGTCGCGCCGCATACCACTTCCCCCCCTCCCCCCCCCGTCCCCAGCGCCCCAGTTGGACCCCCGCCCCGTGGCCCTCTGCCCCGAGCCCCGCCCAGTGCCCCCTCCGCCCCGACCATTTTATTCCGCGTCGCGACGCACACCACCTCCCCCCCCTCCTCTCCGCGCCCCCAGCGCCCTAGTTGGACCTCCGCCCCGTGCCCCCTCCGCTCCGAGCACTTTATTCCGCGTCGTCACGCACACCACCTCTCCCCCCCGCCCCCACCACACCTGGGATTTGGGCCCCGTTGCTGGGCCCCGAGGGGCGATGTCTTGCCCACTCTTCCCCCCTCCTCCTCCTCCTCCTCCTCCTCCTCCTCCTCCTCCTCCTCCTCTCCCTTCCTTTTTGTGCAAGAGCTATGGCACACGTGCCACTTGTTTTTGTCTCTCCTGAGAGGTCGTGAACCCGCCCCGTGCTGTCCACGCGCGGCTCTTGTCCGCGCTGCCGGGGCTCGGCGGGGCTCTGCGGGCCTCTGGTTCCCGTGTGCTGTGGTTGTGAGGCCCCGCGGGGCGGTGCCAAGCGGGCGCGCCGACGGTGACGGTCGCGGAGCAGGTCGCCGTGAGCCAGACGGGTCTTGAGCGGGATCCAGGAGGGGCTGCAAGGTCGGCGACTAGAAAGGGTACGGTTGCGCTGGTGTCTGGTTTGCGATCTTCGTTCTTGGGGCTCGGGGGGCACCACGTCGCCCTCGTCGGGCCTCTTCGGGGCGCGGCGGGGAACTCTGTCGACCACCACCCTGGGTGCGCGTTGCAAACCACACCCTGTGCAGACCACACCTGTCGGAGTCGCCGACAAGGCTCTGGGAGAGCCCCGGGGCCCCCTTCCTCGACGTCGCGTTGTTATTCGGTGCGTGGCCCCTGGAGCTCTCGACCCCTGCCCGGGGGCCAGTCGTCCATCCCGAGCCGTGTTCTGATGTCCCGGGGCCCGAGAGCAGGCCCCAGAGGCCAGTTGAGAAAGCACGGCGATGCAACGTCCGTCTCGTTGTCTGAGCAGTGCGATTGACACCTGGGTCCAGGCTCCACGGCAGAGAGTTTGCTGTTGTTCATGGTGCCGCGGGCCTCGGCGGGCACGACCGGGGTCGGAGCCGTCGGTAGGGCGCGCGGGGATGCGCAGGCGCAACCAGCTGGGCTCCTCGCCAGGCGAGCGGCGATGCCTGGCGTGACGCGGCGGGCAAGCGTCCTGGCCACCGGATGGATCCAAGATTGGGCGACGCAGAAAAAGGAGGTCGTCTTCACCGACATTGGCGCACAAGCTGCCCGCGTAAGGTCGCGCGTAAGCGCCCTCGTCTTCACGTAGTGTGCCACCCTGGCGGCCCGCGTAACCCACCGCGCAAGGTCGCGATGTCAATTCGGACGTAAATTGACGTTCATGATCGTCGTTCAGATGTCCGAGGCAGACACGGGGGGTGAGGACTATGCGTGTGTGTGTGTGTGTCTGTCTGTCTGTGTGTGTGTCTGTGTGTGGTGTGTGTGTGTTGTGTGTGTGTGTCTGTGTCTGTGTCTGTGTGTCTGTGTTTGTGTCTGTATGTGGCGCGTGTGTGTGTGTGTGTGTCTGTGTGTGTGCTTGATTGTGTGCTTGTGTGTACGGGTGTTTGTGTGCTTGTGTGATTGTGTGCGTGTGTGTCTGTGTGTCTGTGTGTCTGTGTGCGTCTGTGTGCGTCTGTGTGCGTCTGTGTGCGTCTGTGTGCGTCTGTGTGTGTCTGTGTGTGTGTCTGTGTGTCGGTGTGTCGGTGTGTCTGTGTGTCTGTGAGTCGGTGTGTCTGTGTGTCGGTGTGTCGGTGTGTCGGTGTGTCGGTGTGTGTGTCTGTGTGTGTGTGTCTGTGTGTGTGTCTGTGTGTGTGTGTGTCTGTGCCTGTGTGTGTGTTTGTGCGTCGCTGTTCAGTGTGTTGGTGTGTCTGTGTGTGTGTGTCTGTTTGTGTGTCTGCGTGTGTGTCTGTGTGGGTAGCTGTGTCTGTGTGTCTGTGTATGTCTTTGTGTCTATGTGTGCATCTGCGTGTGTGTGTCTGTGTGTTTGTGTGTGTGCCTGTGTGTGCCCGTGTGTGTCTGTGTGTGCGCGTGAGTCTATGTGTGTGTTTGTGTGTTCTGTGTGTGTCTGTGTGTGTCTGTGTGTGTCTGTGTGTGTCGTGAGTGTGTCTGTGTGGGTCTGTGTGTGTGTCTGTGTGTGCTTTTGTGTGTGGATGTGTGTGGTGTGTGCATGTATGCGTGTGTGTGTGTGTGTGTCTGTGTGTCTGTGTGTGCGCGTGTGTGTACGTGTGCGTGTGTGTGGTGTGTGGTGCGTGTGTGTACGTCTGTCTGCGTGTGTGTACGTGCGTGTGTTTGTGTGTGCGTATGCGTGTGTGTGTGTGTGCGTGTGCGTGTTTTGTGTGCTTTGTGTTGTGTGTTGTGTGTTGTGGTGTGTATTACGTGTGTTTGTGTGTTGTTGTGTGGCTGTCTGTGTCTTGTTGGCCCTCGGCCTCCTTGTGCCTTGTCCTGCCTTTCTGCCAGTAGTCTCGGCCTCCAGACGCGCGCGCGCTCTCTTCTCTGACTGTGGACGCCCTGTCGCTGCGAACGCGGCCGCGACGCCAAAAACAGTTTGTGTTCGTGTGTGTGTGTTTGTGCGTGTTTGTGTTTATGGTTGTGTCTGCGTAGTTGTTCGCGTATGTTTGTGTTCATGTGTTCGTGCTTGTGGTTGTGTGTGTCTTCGTGTGTTGGTGTGGTTGTGTGCGTGCGTGTGTGTGTATGGGTGTGTGAGTGTGTGTGGGTGTTTGTGGGTGTGTGTGTGTGTGTGGGTGGGTGGGTGTGTGCGGGTGTGTGTGTGTGGGTGTGTGCGGGTGTGTGCGGGTGTGTGCGGGTGCGCGTGTGTGCGAGTGTGCGTGTGTGCGAATACGCGTGTGTGTGAGAGAGAGAGTATACGTGTGTTTGTGTGTGCGTGTGTTCGCGTGTGCGTGTGTGTGTGCGCGTGTGCGCGCGTGTGCGTGCGAGTGCGCGTGCGCGAGTGTGCGCGTGTGCGCCTGTGCGCCCGTGCGCCTGTGCGCGTGCGTGCGTGTGCGTATGCGTGTGCGCGTGTGCGTGCGAGTGTGTGTCTGTGTGCGCGTGTGTGTGTGCGTGTGTGTGTGTGCGCCTGCGTGCGAGCGGGCGGGCGTGCGTGCGTGTGCCTGTGCGTGAGCGTGTTTGTGTGTGTGTGTGCGCGTGTGCGTGCATGTGTGTGTGCGTGCGTGCGTGTGCGTGAGCGTGTGTGGGCGTGCGTTTGTGTGTGTGCGCGTGTGTACACATTTTGAAGATGATAGGCACATGAGTGCCATTCGGATTGGAGGGCTCCCCGACCCCATGGACTGGGATGGACCTGGAAAGCCGTGAGAGCATTTCAAAAATGGCAGAACAGCCAGACAGCACCCAGGATAATTGAAGCCCCGCCAGGGGTTCGTGGATGGAAAGGAGGTGCAGCTTTGGGACTTTGTAGACGGGGACTGGGATGCAGTCCCCGTATGCTACCCCCAGCAAACGGCCCATTTGGGTGGATGTCAGCCTAGGCAAGGATATTGACGCCGCCCGCCCCCGCTGGATGAAATGTGGCAGTGAGCTTCACCGGAGCAGAATTGAGGCGGATCAGACTCATGCGGTGCCACGAGGACTCGCTATTCGCGCCCCCCTTCTAATGGACAGGATCAGGTCCTTCTAACACGGGCGGTGCTGCCACCACATCCCCAGCAGCTTCACGTGCCACGGGACCACAGGCCGTCCACATCCCAGAGGGCAATCCCCCCAGCGAGCTAGGCACGCCGGCGCCCCACGTCCTAGACCAGCTGGTGCCTCTCGCTCTGGACGATAGCCCTCCCAGCCTATGCGCTGCGCGTGCCGCGCAGGGAATGCACGCGTACCTTTGGCACGCTCCCCCCCGCGCAGCCCATCCAGGGCCCCATCGGGCCCGTGCTGGGGGCCTCGGGGCCCGGGGCGGCGCCAGCCCGCGCCAGAAGCAGGGGCGCGCGTCCGTCTGAGTCGTCAGATGACCCTCCGACGCCGGGCGGGGACAGGCAGACAGCAGCCGTTGACAACAGCTCCAGCCCCCCTCTGGCCTCTCGCGGACGCTGCAAAAAATCGGCCTGCGGTTGTAGCGAAGAGGGAGCTCGCCCTGCCAGTCCGGCCAGCAGACATTCTGAGAGGCGGCGCAGCCCCAGCAGCCCCTCTCAGCCGACTGTCAGCGCGGCCCCTTCTGAGATGCATCCTGGGTTTGTTAAGGTTTATGAGGTTTAGCTAAAGTTTAGCGCACTTATAAAGTTTACCATACGTTTATCAATTACCCCAGTGCGACCCTACCTAGAAGTTGGAGCCCCTAGGAAAGCAGCATTAGTTGCTATGCTATGCTATGCTATGCTATGCTATGCTGCGCTATGCTATGCTATGCTATGCTATGCTGCGCTATGCTGTGCTATGCTATGCTGCGCTATGCTATGCTATGCTATGCTATGTCATGCTGTGCTATGCTAAGCTGTGCTCTGCTCTGCTATGCTATGCTGCGCTGTGCTATGCTGTGCTGTGCTGTGCTGTGCTGCGCTATGCTATTATATGCTATGCTATGCTGCGCTATGCTATGTTATGCTGGGCTATGCTATGATGTGCTGCGCTATGCTATGCTATGCTATACTGTGCTTTGCTATGGTAAAGCTCATATAAGCTAAGATGAAGGTAAGCTAAGCTAAGATAAACTTGAGCTAAGATGAAGCTAAGCTAAGCTAATCTAAGCTAAGCTAAGATGAAATAAGCTAAGCTAAGATCAGATAAGCAACGCTAAGCTAAGGAGACGCAACTGGGGGAACCGCGGGGCGGATGCCGGGGGAACCGCCCGGGGCGTTTTGCACTGCCCGGCCCTTTAAGCATATCGAGTAAGAACCCTTCTAGGCAGAGCCTAGGTAGGCAACAACGGACTTATAAACTTCATAAACGTTTAGCCGTCGCTATTTGCAAACTATAAAGCTTCAATTGTTTCACACTTCCCCCTCCTCCTCTTGATTCTATATCACCGCGTCGATTCTCCTTTCTAAAAAGAGAATAGACTCTACCCCCCCCGGACTTATCGGTTCCCCTTTCGGGTATGTCAATTATGTATGATTCTGACCATTCGTCCATCCTAAATATGAAATCATACCATCCCGGCCAGGCCGGGTTCCCCCCCCTGAGGTTCCCTTGTAAAAAACACTATGCGGTGACATTTTTTGTTCTAACATAACACTGTTTCACGAATCCCTTGCAAAAAATGGGACGAAGTACACACGCGCGCGTCGTCGCGCGCATGCCGAAATCCTCCACATACCCTCGGTGCGGGAAGGATTTCGCAATCGAGTTTCCAAAAAACATACAAAAACACAGGGTTTCGCAACACTGATTTGCTAAAAAAGCTTCCGCGCGAGCTCTTGCGAAGTCTGAAGAAAACCATAGGTTTTCAAGATTTTCGCAACATGCTACCAAACGGGCTTCGCGCGCGCGCATGTCGAAATCTGTCGAACGCCCTTGCGCGCGTGCCGTCGCGAAAATCGTGTGCAAAAAATAGGTCGAAGTGCAGACGCGCGCGTCGTCGCGGGCGCATGCCGAAAACCTTCAAAATCCATCGGTTTCGGAAGGATTTCAACATCGTGCGTCCAAAAAACCTACAAAGACCGAAGATTTCGCAGCACGGATTTTCAACAAAAGCGTGCGCGCGCGCGCTCTTGCGTCGTCGTCGTCGTCGTCGTCGCCGCCCTCCCTCCTCCCGCGTCGTCGTCGTCGTCGTCGCCTACGTCGTCCTCTGTCTTTTCTCGTGTTCGTCGTCGTCGTCCTCTTTGGCGTCGTGGTCGTTTCCGTCGCCGTTGTCGCCGTGGTCGTCCGTCCTCCTCCTCCCACGTCGTCGTCGTCCGTCGTCGGCGTCTCGTCGTCGGTCCCTCCTATTTCGTCACCGTCGTCGTCGTCGTTGTCGTCGTCGTCGTCTTCCCTCCTTCCTCGTCGTTGCCGTCGTCGGCGTCGCCGTCCTTCCTCCTTCTTCGTCGTTCGCGTCGTCGCCGTCCTCCCTCCTCCCTCGTCGTTGTCGTCGTTGTCGCCGTCGTCGTCCTCCCTCCTTCCTCGTTGTCTTCGTCGTCAGCGTCGGCGTCGTCGTCTTCGTCGGCGTCGGCGTAGTTGTCTTCGTCATCGTCGACGTCGGCGTCGTCGTCGTCGCCGCCGTCGTCGTCGTCGTCGTCGTCGTTGACGTCGTCGTTGTCGTCGGTGTCGTCGTTATCGTCGGCGTCGTCATCGTCGTCGTCGTCGTTGTCATCGTCGTCGGCGTCGGCGTCGGTTTCGTCGTCGTCGTCGTCGGTGTCGTCGTCGTCGTCGTTGTCGGCGTCGTCGAAGTCGTTGGAGACGTCGTCGGTGTCGTCGTAGTCGTTGTCGGCGGCGTCGTCATCGTCGTTGTCGCTGTCGTCGTCGGCGTCGCTGTTGTTGCCAAGTGCCATGTGGTACACACCGTCACGGTCTCAAGAGATTTTGCAAAC